CGTCGGGTCTCTGCTGGGAACAGCTCCTGGATGTGCCCAAGCCCCAGCAGAGCTGCCAGGGAGGGTGCTGAGAAGTCTGGACGCCCATGGGAACCTGCTGATGGGTGCTGGTTGCACCCCCCTGGTTTAGTCGCCAAACCAGAGCAGGAGGCTGGGTCCGACAAAGGTTTTGCTCCTCGCAGCCAGGGCAGAGACCCAGCAGTGAGACGGGGAGCACTGAGCAGCAACGGTGCTGGGTCTCACAAGGCAACAGTCATCTCCGGAGCCTCAGTGTGCTGGGCCACCGGGTGCCCCCAAGGCGAGGAGACCCAGGGGTTTCTCTGTGCTGTGGCAGGGGCGGCTCTGTTCTCCTTGACCTGTTCTGCGTCTTCCACCTCCTCATGTGCTTGCAGCTCGCACTGCGATGGGTGGGATGGCAGGTCCCTGCAGCCGTCAGCTGTGCGTGGTTTTCCAAGTGTTTGTGCTCTTGCTGTGAGTCTTGCTGATGCCTGAGCCTCAGGTGAAGTTTTGAGGTGTTTTAGGGCATGGAAAATTAATTCTGGTGTAATACTCTTTAAGATAATCACTGAAAGGATTTTCTACACCATTGCTGGAATCCTGGAGGTTTTGAGGATTCCTTGCATTGAACTCCTGCACTGCTGCTAGACGAGCTTCTCAGGTTGCCTCAGTCTAAAGTTACCCTAAGGAATACAAGGAAAAGAAGGGTGTATATCCTTAGAGAAAGGAAACAGGGGAATAAGAGAAGGATAGAAAGAAAATCCATCTTATTGGACAGCAAGTTTCTTTTGCCTTGTGGGAATAAAACTGCTCCTGACTGGGCTGTGAGAAAGCCCAGAGTGCTTTGAGACATAGGAAGAGGAGGTGTGGGAGCTGCAGGCACTGGTGCGACCATCCCTGGCAGCCACTCTAACACTGACAGGAGGGCAGAGCCCCAGCAGCACAGCCTGTACAGAGAGTGGGGAGTGGGGTCTGCTGCAGCAAGGCAGCCCAGCCATGCCCCTCACAGGGTGGGTGCTCCAGAGGCAAGAAGGGTGCTGGGGGTCTGCCCTCAACACATCCCACAGGGGAATTCAGACCATGTCACTGGGAATGTATCATCTGTGTGTGCAAACGGAGCCGGAAAGCTTATTTCTTGAGCAGACACTCTGATCTGGGGAAAGTTTTGATATAAGTTTTATGCTCTGGGGCTCTGTCTGCATTTATTTTAATTTACATTTAACTATGACCTCGTAGACTGGGGTCTGGCTTTCAGTCAGCATCCTCCCTTGTAAGTCTTCTGCTGCATCTTACACGAGTGGCCAGAGGTGTACCTCCTCACTGCCATGTCTTGCTCATGACAGTGGGGATTTCAGAGCTGTGACCCAGATAGCACAACCCAAATTCTGACCAGCAGAATTGGGTCTGGAGTCTTCCTGTTCTTCATTGGGTTCCTCCATTGTCTCTAGGGCAGGCTGTTTCTTCTCTTCTCTCTAAGGTTCCTGCGTCAGCTGACAATGGTAGGGACCTTCCTTGCTTCCTTATCTTCCAGATCAAACCAGCTCTGGGGCCTTCTGTTGCTTAACTAGGTAAAAGTTCAGCATATCTGGGCGCAAGTTCACAGTTTGTGGCCTAAGGCTTCAGTGAATTTAGCTGCTAATGCTAAGCAAGTTATGCTAAGCAAGTTCTGTGTAAGTATGTACCAAATCCCATGACAGTCTTGCAGTGATGGTAGATCAGGGCAGTCAGCACCAGGAGCAGAAGGGCAGCCGTGAGGGCCATGTTTCACAGCTGGGCATGGTGGGATCTGTGGCCCGGACTTCCTCTGCTGAGTTCCCTGGAAAGCCTGTAAAATCAGGTTAGGATGAGAAAATAATGGAGTAGGACAGGGGCTTAGAGAAGTCCTAAGGTGTCTGACTGCATTCGGCACCAGATATGCCCACTAGGCTGGAGGATGCTGCTTGGATGTCATCTTCCCTAGCCCTGCCTGAGAGGAGGAGTACTCATTGAGAGCAAGCCTCACCTCTCCTGGAAAGAAGGGAGAGTATGGACATAGAGTGGAATTGTGGAGCATGACTTTGAGATGTGTTGCCCTGGGCACATCCTGGGTGCAGGATGCCTTGGCTCTGCTCCTCTTGCACTCACAGGCCAGAAGCAGGCTGGTGACAATGAGGGCAGGAGGCAAGAGATAGAGAGAGCAGAGAGAAGCCCTGCAGTTAACAGTGGAATATGTAGGTGGAAATGTGACAAGAAACACCTGATAGATAGAAAAGGGAAGTCTAAATCTGTTCATTCCCTCCTGATTACAAACAGGGAAACTGAGGCAGGGGAGGCAGTGAGCAGCTCACCATCAGCCAAGGTCCCTGTGCAGGTGCTCTCTTCAGCATGCTGTTGCCTGTTTCTGTTACATGCTGCCAACTTATTTTGAAAATAGTGCCCATCTGCCCAGCTGCAATACCCTCATACGACCCCAGGTCTGGCTTAAGGGGGGGCTGCATAGCAGGAATTCTCCATCCATCATGGGAGAGGCTGGATTCAGAAGCAAATGTGGCCCATGGGTTGTCTGCCTGGGGCTTAGCATTGAAGCACCTCACACACTTTGGATTGCAGAAAAATCTCTGCTTGAGCTGTACTAGAAAGGGATGGCAGGGATGTGTTTTGTCTCCCTGGAGACATCAGATAGCTGCATGATCATGGGATCACCCAGCCCAGGCAATCATAGCAGTGAAGCCATGAAAGAAAGTAAGATCCTGGGAATCCGGGGGGATTTGGCCAGGCAGCCCCTGCTACAGAAAGGCTCTCTGTGGGGTAGTAAGCAGGGAGGGTATCTGCTGGCTGAGAAGCAGAGGGATTTGTCCTGGTCCAGCCCTTCCCCTGCACAGAAACATCTGTGGCTTGGGGGAGGCTGTGATACATCTCAAATCTGTGTTGCGCTGGGAGGAAACAGCGTTTGATCTCCATTCCTCACAAGATAAATGCCAAGAGGCGCTTCCAGTAATGGATGCCAGAGCTTGGCAGGCTCTGACACATCTCCCTGCCTGCCCACAGCCCCTTCCCTGTGCTCTGGCTCAGCGCAGCCCCTTCATTGCTTCCTGGGTGTCTGGACAACATCCTGGAGCTGCTCGGGGGTGGTTGGTGAAGGCTTCTCAGTCGCCTGCAGAGATTTCAGCCCTGTTTCCTCCAGGATGGGCTCTGGTACACACAGCTTTTTCTCTGATCTAATCCTGTGTCACCAGACAAATGGAGGCAGTATGAGCCTGAGCATCCAGTGGTACAAGCAGGAACTGTGGACAGCTGTCCCTGTGCAGCACTGGCCACTGCCCCAGGGAGAGATGTAGTTGCCTTGGGGCCAAGGAAGGTTGCCTTGAAAAGGGCCCAAGGTGGCAAGTTTTGTTCTCCCAGGCTGAAGGCTACCCTCCCTCGGGCAAGGGTGTTCCCCTTTGAGGAGTTTATGGCTCCAATTCCTCTCTTCAGGCCAGGACTTGCCAGGCAGCCTCTCCTCACATCTGTGCCTGGTTATTGTCAGAATGCTATTAAGCCAGAGGGTGATTGCATCTTCTGCTTGGGACTGTAATGTATTCACTGCCAGGCCCCAGCAAAGGCTCCTTGTGCAGCAATGTGGAGCCTGGCAGTTGCATGACGCTTTTCCAGTCCCACTTCATTTGAGACATCACCTTCTGATCTCCACTGGGTGTGGGTTCCCAGTTGGGTTACACCACTAGGCTGACCTGCAGCATGTGTCCCCACTTCTTCCGGACACAGGCCATGGAGGGCAGTGTCTGTGTGCACCATGGCCAGCCCAGTGCACCCAAGGGTGGGCAGAAGCTGGGTGGCTCAGAGCAGCCACTTCTCACACAACCACGTTGCCTCATGGCGCAGTCCTGGGGTCCCCACCACGACCTTCCCCTGGTGTTGCCAGCTTCAGAGCTGCCCCAGAGCTCTGATGAGCCTGCAGTGGTGACAATGCCACCACCATGGAGGACAAGCATGCTGCACACACCTGCTCCACAGCCCACCAGGCATTTGTGAGGTAGCTGTTGTCCCAGAAGGTCTCCATCCCATGAGGCAGGAGCCAGTGTCACCCTGCTTGTTGCCATTCCTAGGAGTGCCAGGAAAGGGGAGAGCCACCAATGGTGGGAAAATGTCTTTGGCCCATGACACACCTTGCTGGGGATCATGGCAAAGCAGCAGCTCATCTGGTGGCCAATGTCCCACCAGAGACCCTGGTAGCCACAGGCACCTACACAACTTCTCCAGTGCGAGCAAGGAGGGCTTGCTCGGGGCAGCTATGGAGAGCAGGGTGGTGGCACCCAGCCATGGCAGCAGGACCATTATGGGAAGGAGATGAAGGGAAGTGGAGCCAAAAACCCTAGCACTGAGTCAGGCTGAGCAAGTGCTGCTTCCCTCCAGCCACAGATCCCCACCGATTGTGAAATGGATGCTGGGACCTGGAGCAGGGCTTCCTCCCCCAGCCCTTATCTTTGCTGCTTCCTCCTCCTCCAGGACTGTGCCCAGGCAGCAACTGGAGTTCTTGCAAAATGAAGCTGAGAAGTTCTGGGGCTAATTAATTACCAGCTGCTGGTAATACTGACTGAGCCCCCGGGGACTCCAAGGCTGGAGCAGGGGAGAAAGTGCAGTGAGATACTGGAAAATTACCGTTTAATTCTTCAGCATTACACTGGAAAATTACTGTTTAATTCTTCAGCATTACGACTGACTATACGGCGTCTGGTAGATGAGGGACAGGAAGAGGCTGATAACGAGCCAGCCACAGCAACAGCACTGCTGGCCTTCTCCTCCCTGGCAGCAGGGACCTGGAGGGCTGGCTCCATCCCTGGTGAGAGTTCAGTGTCCGGTTGGATGTGGGTCCTCAGGCCAGTGCTGCCCGTGCCTGGCCCCAAAGCCATCAGTACTCCTGCTGGGTGTCGCAGCCAAGGAACTCTATCCGCAGGGCGATGTGGTTGTGCCACCAGCGGGGGTGTATCCTCACATAGCGGGCGAAAAGTGGGGGCTCCAGGGTGTTCATCACTGTGTTTGTGTGGTCTTGGTTTGCCTTGAAAATCTGGAGAAGAGAGAGAAATCAGGGGCGTGCTCTCCTCTGCTGGTAGAGTGAGCCCATGGCTTGAGGACACAGTCAGCCCAGACAAGCATTGCTTGGGAGGGCTTTAGGGAAGAAAAAGCATAGCCTGGCTCACTGCTCTTGCAAAAAGCTCTGCCTACCTTCTCCTTGCTGTCCTGCAGGATCGGGCTCCAGTGCACACCATCCTGGCTGCTGGAGACGGCAAACTCCTTCACAAACATGTGGGTGAAGACAGCTTTGGCACCTTGGGTTATGATTGCAGTCACCTTCTTCGTTTCTTCAAAGTCTACCTGCAACCACTCGCTGGGGCTGTTGCTCTGGGGAAGGACAGACTGCCTTCAACTCTCCAGCAGCAAGGAGAAAGACACATTCATTGCAGATGGAGCCAAGCAAGCCCTGCACATAGTCCTGGGCTTTATCTGCCTTACCAAGCATGTATGTGGCTGTACACACTCCCCACACAGCCCTGGCTAGGAGAGGTTGCAAGCACCCAGCCTGCCTGCTGGGGTCCCACCTGCCTGCCCTGAGGATCTCCTTGCACGGGCTACCTTTGGCCTCCACGCGTTGGTCCTGCCCTGCAGGTTCAGGCGAGCATGGGAGGGCGACCAGCTGAAGAAGACGTTGGTGCTGTAGGAGGATGCAGAGATGCGCTGGTCAGGGATCCCTCTGTTCTCCATTCCCAGTGGCATAGAGCAGCCTGAAAGAGAAGAGGGAACAGACCCATCACGGAGATGCCTTCTGCTCACCTCTCCAGCCACCCTCCATGCACATTCCCTGGTTACAGGTTCTCCTGTGCCTTGCTGCAGTGCCATGGTTCCTGTGCTGCTCGGGGCCCCTGTGTGCAGCATGGCTCTGGCTAGGGAGTGCCAAACTACCCCTGCTGCCAGTCCCACCTTTGTTTCTCCCTGGAGATTCTGTCTAGGAGGAACGTGAAGAATTTGTGCATCTGCCAGGACATAAGGAGAACCTGTCTCCAGGGAAGGATGAGAATACTTGGCAGGGAGATGTGGCATGGGGCACCAGTACAGCTGCTGCTGCTTGTAGCTGCTGGAGAGTTTGCCCAGCTGGTGTGTGAAGCTAAAGAAAGGATCCCACAGCACCATTGCCTTGGACACACTGGGCCAGAGCAGTCTCGCCTTGGAGGGGTAAAACCAGAGGAAAAGGCAATAGTGTCTCTGCTTGTTCCCTGCTCCTCCAGACTGCGGCACCAGCTTCCCAGCTATCAGCTCAGCTGCTGCTGGAGGTTTCTGATGGTTTAGGGAAGAGTCGGCCCTATGCTCTCTCTCTGGTATTGCTATTTCTAAGACCATAATGAGATTTTCTAGCTTTGTTTCCCCAACATCTCAATGCCACTTCCAGCCTCCTCCTTCTCCCTCCACAACTGTCTGAGGAGTCCTGAAATGTGCAGAGCCAGAGCCCAGCACCCCACTGGATCAGGTCCCAGCTTTGGTGTGTAGTACCCAGAGGTGGGACATTACTGTTGAGGTCGCAGCCGATGAGCTCCATGCGCAGTGTGGGCCGGATGCTGTAGTGGGTGACATTGATGCGGATGTACCGGGCTATGATGGGAAAGTTGAAGCTATTTTCTTTCACTGTGGTTGCATCCACATTTCCAAAGAACAGCTGCAGGGAAAGGGAGGAAAAGGATCATTATACCAGTGGAAAGAGAGCTAGATAGGACAGGGATTAGTGAGGAGAAGGACATTTCTGCCTGGCACTTCTGTATCTTATCACCATCTTTATGAGAATGGCAGCTCAGGGAAACTATTTGAGGTATGATTTAAACCAAAGAAGTGTGAACGGGCCAAATCAAGTGTGAACCTCTGAGAAGGAGGAGGAGAAACTTAGGGTCTGTGCAAATGAACATGTTTTTATTTATTCACCAAGCAGAGGGGAGAAAAAGAAGAAGAAAAAAAGTCAGTGCTGGGACTTTTGAACTTGGGAAAATTTTGGCCATAGCTGCTATACATGATGGAGGCTTTTCTGGGTAGTTCTCCCACTGGAATGATCAGCTTATGCATATTTAGGTTGTGGGTTTTTTTCCTAATGGGTAGAGATCCTCCAAATCATCTGCATCTACACAGTATTTTTAGAAAGCCAAATTTGCCTTTGGGGTCAAAAAAAGATATTCAGGAAAAATCCTGTGCCTAGCTCTAAGTAACATGCAAGAAAGCATTAAAGGGTGGATCTCACAGCTTCCTGGAATCAGTTTAAAATTAAGTAGATGGACAGCAACAACAAGGTCGTTTCAAATCTGGGACTTCATCATCCTGGCAGTGAATGCTCACTGTTCCTGCCTCAGTCATGTATCTCAAGGGCTCAGGAGATCTCTGCCTTGTGTACAGAGCTCCTCGCTTTCATCACCCCAAGAGGACCCGTTCTGGGAAGACACTCTCCTCGAGACCAGTTTGCCTTACCATCTCGGTGCTGGTGGCATTCCCCTTGTATTTCTTCCACCTTTGCCCATCAAGGCTGTAGAAGACAACAAACTGGGAGATGTAAAGGCTGGAGAACTTCTGTCGGGCCCCTTGGGTTTTAATGCCATGAATAATCATGAGACGCAAAAGGTCCACCTGAGAACGAAAGTCAGGGATTCATTTCTGATGGAAAACCATGCCATGCTCAGGCAATGCACTGTAAACCCGTGGAACTCTCTTCCTCATGATGTAACTGAGCACAGGTTATGAGGCTGGTTAAAATAATCATTCCTAGGGGAGCTGACAGCTGGGAGAGGGCAGGGGAGAGCTGTTGGGAGAGGTGAGCTGTTCTCACTTGGTCTTTGAGGGATTTTTGCACAATCCAGTGCTGCAGCTGGACCATCAAGCAATTCCTTTGCTGCATCGAGGATGGATCTGGGGGTCCATCAGCATGAACCATGGCCAGACCAACTGCTACTAGGATTCAGAGCTCCTCTCTCGGAGGGAAAACAGGGAAAATGGCAGGATGTAGCTGGGGAGACACCAGCCAGCTGTGTGGGTCCCTTGCAATGCTGCCAGTGGTGCCTCCTGCCACAGGGCCCATCTCACCTGGATGGAGGCGTTGCTGCGTCCGGTGCTCCAGGCGTTGATGGAGCCAGTGTTATGCAGCCTGGCCAGGTGAGGAGCCCACTGTCCTGCAAGAAGAGCACACAGATATGAGGGTGCTGCTGGCCCCTGGCACTGCCCAGCCTGAGGCGGTGAGAAGTCCATCCGCAGGATGGGGTCTGAGGATCACTGCTGGGTTTAGTAGCCACGTACAGGGTGGCAGAGCACTGACATTATGGGCCAGACATGTAGAAACGCATCTCCAGGTCCCAAGCGGAACACTGACATGGGCATGGATGGAGGAAGGACTTTGCCAGGGACCCCTTGGGCAGACAAGCACATGAGTTGTGTTGGCTGAAGCTGCCCCAACCTCACCTGTCTTCCTTCCTTGCAGCAACAACCTCTACTCACCGTACTGCCCTGATGCTGTGATCTGAGAGTCCGCAATGTGACCTGAGGCCAGGCCGAGGGCATTTCGGCAGTCTGCAGCCAAACAAGGAGAAGGAAGGTGAAAAACAGGGAGAGTCGATTAGAGAGCAAGGCTTTTGAAGGAAAGGTCTAGGCTGGGTAGCAGCCTCCAGACTCAGAGAGGTTGTCTCAAGCCTTCAGGAGACCCCAGGTTTGTTTGTCTCACACAAACTGGTGGGTTTTGGATGCCTTCACATCCATCCATTAATTTTAGGGGTGCTGGAAGTTCTTGCTTCTAACCCCAATGTCAGCAGCAGAGACTTCCCAGTGTCAACCACAGCAGCCTCTTGCCAAACTCTTGTCCCTGAGTCCCTGACCTCTCATTCCTGTGTCCTGATCTTCCAGCAATGCTGACAAGTGTCTCTTCCTTATACCCATGTCTTGCTCCTGGGCTTTTTTGTTGCTAGGCAGCATCTTTTAAAAACAAATATCACGTCGCTAAAGGAAAGTCCGCCTGACACCTCTGTCTCTCCGTGCCTTTTTTCTGGTCTGCTGAGCACAGGACGGTTTGTCTCTAATAATAACCATTATTATTAGAGACTTGTCACATCTTGGCATCTCCGCTGCCTGGCAAATGCTGCTGGGGAAAATGGGAATTTGAAATCTTAAGCAGATTTTTAACTTATGGCAACATTTTCTGGCTGACATTTAATACTCCTTTAGGAAGAGAAGAGAGACTCTCACTGTGTGACAAAATACTGCTCTCACAAAACACTTCCCTCACTGCTTACTTATGGTGAGGTAGAAATGTGTTGTTCTGGGGTGAATGGAGTCAAAGGTTTCCTATGGATTTTGCAGTTGCTTTTGGGTCTGTTTCTGTCAGAGCAACCTGTAGTCAAGCAATGTTGCTCCCAGACTTCTGCCATCACTCCGTGCCTCAGTTTACCTCCTGACATTTGTTTAGGCAGCTGGGCACTGTCCCTTCCCTGTGGTCTAGTGGTGGACTTAGTAGGACTGAAGCCAGGACTTTCTTTCAGAGTGAAAACCCAAAGACCCTACTTGGGCCACCGCAGGGGTAATGCTGAGAGCCCAAAGGGAGGGAGGTCAAAACCATGCTGGCCATGGCCATGGCAGCAAGCGGGCCAGGACACAGAGATCATCACTCACTCGGATTGTACACGAGGAAGAGAGCACTCATCCCAGCTTGCTGGTGCTCTCCCACTTTGCACTCTACCCGCCAGATCCCAGCACGTGAGGGCCTCATCTCCACCGTCCCAAAGACACCTGGTTGGGAATGGAGAGCAGAGCAGAGGGGAGTTACTGGCTGTATTGGGATGCCACAATGCCAAGCTCTGTGCAAACACAAAGCCAGACTCTTCCAGATCCATTCCCCCTCCTTGCTAACACCCACAGGCTTAGCATTTCCAAATGGGCATGGACACAAAGGCCCAGCAGCTGGGGAACACACAGTGCCCATGCTGCATCTCACCTGGATAAAGGTTGTAGACGCCCATGTGATACTCCTGGTTCGTCCTGACACTGAACAGCTGCCCATGGAAGTGGACAGAGTGGATGTCCTCAGTGCTGCCCATGTTCAGGAGGTGCCACCGGACCCGTTGCTGCTGACTCATCACCAGCCCAGGCAGTGTGTCCCTCACGTAGCCGTTGATGGCTGAGGAAGGCAACAGTCAGAAGTGGCTCAAGGCTCCAGGGTTTTTCCATCCCAATATAGATTATGGGATGGAAAGGGCAAGGGTCCTCACCGTGGAAGGAATGGTTTCTCTTAAAGTCAGGGTTGTCCTGCTGGATGTGGCAGGGTGGGCGGCAGTTCCTCTTCATGTTCTCCAGGAAGTACCAGCTTTTGGTCTCATCAAAGATGGTGAAGAGCAGGGAGAACTCCTGCACCACCAGCTGCCGCCCGAAAACGAAGCTCAGCACCCCCCGGCGGCAGATGATCAGTGGCCCAATGAGGCCCGAGTGCAGGTCCTTCTCCTGCCAGGGAGCCGGGAAAGAAGGGTTTGCCTGGGAGCAGGAGGCAGCGCTGATGCCCATGAGCAGCACAGCAGCGAGGAAAGCGGTGGCCCTGTCTGCATCCCTGGCCTGGCGCCCACTCGTGCACAGGCCATGATTCCCACTCTGCTCCTAGCTAGGAAAGGCTGTGGAGCAAATGTTTGCACACAAAAGTGATGTCTGTCTGTTCAACAGTCCCTACCCCATTAACAATGGAACCCAGATCACTGCAGGTCTCATAAGCTGATATAACTGGGAAAGGAGGGGAAAAACCCAATTAAGAGAATGGAAGAGAAAGCAGCAGCATGCATTCATCACTATATTAGACACCTGAGAAATAACAGAGCCACAGGCTGCTTTCAGCACAGCACCATAGGACAAGTCTTGACCTCACAGCCAGGACCCAGGCATGCTGCTTCCTGGGATGCCCCATGGAGCAGGCTCCCACCTACCAGGTCCACATTGGAGAAGTAAGCCCAGGCCTTGCAGTCAAACTCCTGCGTGGTTGGTGCCATCTGGGGCAGGACTTTCCAGGAGTACTTGCGGACCTCGCCAGGATGCACCACCTCTCCTCCCTGTGTTGCACCCTGTGTCTCCTCATAGGCTTGCAGTGTGGAGTGAAAGGAGAAGGGCCGTGAGGCCAAGTTCTTGAACGTAACCTGCACCAGAGGGAAGGCAAAGCAAAGGGAGCGTGGGATTGGGATAGGGGCAGTGCTGAGAGTGCCCTGCTCCCAGCCTGCTGCTGGGAAGGAGGAGGCCATTTCCTCAGTGCCCAAACCTCCCGCTGGGCCCCATGCAGTGACCAACCCCTGCTGAA